ATCGTTCATGTCCCTGCCCTAGCGTTCTCGCCTCTTCGGCTTCCCCTGTCCCTACCCTAGGGTTCTCGCCTTTTCGGCTTCCCGACGCTCCAGGACGGCCCAAGAGACCCCAAAAATCGCCCCAAGACGACCCAAGAGACCTCCTAGATGGCCCCAAAACTGCCCAGGAGGGCACCAAAACGACCCAAGAGGCGCCCACGACAGCCCAAGAGGCCAAAGGGGGCCCCGACGGGGGGAGGAGGAGGAGGAGGAGGAGGAGGAGGAGGAGGAGGAGGAGGAGGAGGAGGGAGGAGGAGGGAGGAGAGGAGGGCCAGGAAGCTCCTCCTCCTCCTCCTCCTCCTCCTCCTCCTCCTCCTCCTCCTCCTCCTCCTCCTCCTCCTCCGCCTCCTCAAGAAGCTGCAAAACTGCCCCCAAGAGGCCCAAGAGCATCCCTGAGGACCTGGACTCGAAATCCAAACACGGTGGCGGGACGGGCCTAAGGCCGTCAGATCCGCCGCCCCCTGTCGATTCATCGCAAAGGTGCCTGGCGTGCCGGATGATATGGGTTTTAGTTTTGGTTCGTTTTCCCAAAGAACTTCCCCTGGGGCTTCGGCCCGTCCCGCCGGGGTCCTGGGAAGTATCTCAAAACCTGGATGCAAAGGTTTTCCCTGCTCCAGATGGCTCCAAGACGGCCCAAGATGCTCTCCAAGATGCATCCAAGACGGCCAAGATGGCCTCCAAGACGGCGAAAATGGCTCCAAGATGCATCCAAGACGAGCCAAGATGCACTCCACACGGCCTAAGATAGCCTCAACATGGCCCCAGACAGCCCAAGAGGCCCCCAAGAGGCCTCCAAGACGGCCCAAGAGGCCTCCAAGAGGTCCTCCAGGAAGGCCCGAAGAGGCAAAATCATGGATTTTCCGTTGATTTTTCAAGGATTTTGGCATTTGCGCCTTTTCAGCTTTCCGACGGCCCCAGACGGCCCAAGAGACCCCCAAGATCGCCCCAAGATCGCCCAAGAGGCCTCCAAGATGGCCCCGTGACGGCCCAAGAGGCCTCCAAGACGACCCCAGGAGAGTCCCAAGACGGCCCAAATTGCCTCCAAGACGCCCAAAATGGACTCTAAGACGGCCCTGGAGCGCACCCCAAGAGGGCCCCAAGTCGGCCCAGAAAGGCCCCCCAAACGGCTTCCGACGGCGTCAGACGAGCCAGGAGCCCACCAAGATGGCCGAAGGTGGCTCGCAGCTGGCCCAAGACGGCCAGAGGCCTACAAGAGGGCCTCCAGGAAGGCCAGAAAAGGCCAAAAAGAGTGATGTTCCGTAGATTTTTGAAGGATTTTGGCATTTGCGCCTTTTCGGCTTTCCGACGACCGGAGACGGCCCAAGAGGCCCCCGAATTCGCCCCACGATCGCCCAAGAGGCTTCCAAGATGGCCCCAGAACGGCCCAAGAGGCGCCCAAGACGGCCCCAAGAGGCCCCCAAGACGGCCGAAGAGGCCTCCAAGACGCTCAAGATGGCCTCCAAGACGGCCCACAGGCCCTCCAAGACGTCCTCCAAGAAGGCGGTCAAAATAGCCTCCAGGCGGCCAAAATGACCTTCAAGATGCCCACGTGTTCCCCGAAGGCTTTCCAAACCGCTTCGGGGAACACATGGTCCGATAGCTTGGCAGATCTGGCCTCAACGTTCGGCCACATAGGCGCTTCCACAAGGGCAGGGGGCGGCGGTGATTCGCCGTGGGCGTCTTCGATCCGCCGCCCCCTGTCGCTTCATCGCAGGGGTGCCTGGCGTGCTAGACCCTCTCGGTTTGGGTGTTGGTTCTTTTTCCAAAAGAGCGCCGCCTGGGCCTTCGGCGCGTCCCGCCGGGGGCCCGGGAGGCTCTTCCGGAGGTAAATGCCGTGGGTTTTCCTGCCCCAGACGGCTCCAAGATGGCTTCCAAGATGCGAGACGGCTCAAGAGCCCCCAAAGATCGCCCAATACGGCCCCAAGAGGCACCCAAGACGGCCCAAGAGGCCTCCAAGACGCTCAAGATGGCCTCGAAGACGGCCCAAGAGCCTCCAAGACGGCCTCCAAGAAGGCCCGAAAGGGTCAAAATGGCCTCCAGACGGCCAATTGGACCTTCAAGATGCCAACGCGTTTCCCGAAGGCTTTCCAAACCGATTCGGGGAACACATGGTCCGATAGCTTGGCAGATCTGGCCTCAACGTTCGGCCACATAGGCGCTTCCAAAAAGGCAGGGGGCAGCGGTGATTCGCCGTAGGCGTCTTCGATCCGCCGCCCCCTTTTGATGTATCAAAGGGGTGCCTGGCGTGCCGAACGATATCGCTTTTGGTTTTGGTTCTTTTCCCAAAAGAACTCCCCCTGGGGCTTCGGCCCGTTCCGGCGGCCACCCAGAAAGGCGCTCAATCCGGGAAACAATCATCCAAGATGGCTCACAATGGCGCCAAGATGGCCACGTTGGCCCAAGATGGCCTCCAAGATGGTCCAACATGACCCTCAAGATGCCTCCAAGATCGCCACGATGGCCTGCAAAGACGGCTCCGATGGCCCCAAGATGCCTCCAAGACGGCCCAAGACGGCCCAAAAGACCCGCAAGATGCCTCCAAGACGGCCCAGAGGCTTCCAAGAGGTCCTCCAGGAAGGCTCGACGAGGCCAACATCATTGATTTTCTATACGTTTTTGAAGGATTTTGGCATTTGCGCCTTTTCGGCTTTCCGACGGCCCGAGACGGCCCAAGAGGCCCCCAAGTTCGCCCCAAGATCGCCCAAGAGGCCTCCAACATGGCCCCGTGGACCCCCGAGACGGCCCCAAGAGGGCCCCAAGACGGCTCAAGAGGCCTCCAGGACGCCCAAGATGGGTTCCAGAACGGCTAAGATGGCCGGCCCGAAGAGGATGAAATCATTGATTTGCCCTGGGTATTTGGAGGATGTTGGCATTTGCTTCTTTTCGGCATTCCGATGGCCCCAGACGGCCCAAGAGCCCCCAAAGATTGCCCCAAGATCGCCCAAGAGGCCCCCAAGAGACCCCCAAGACGGCCCCAAGAGGGCCCCAAGACGGCCCAAGAGGCCTCCAAGACGCCCAGGATTGCCTCCAAGATGGCCCTGGAGCAAGCTAAGAGGTCCCCAAGTCGGTCCAAAGAGGCCCCCAGGACGGCTTCCGACGGCGTCAGACGGGCCAGGAATGCCCGAGGACGGCCACAGAGGCCCACAAGAAGCCCCCCAAGGCCCAAGGCCCCCAAGAGGCCCAAGGATTTTTCCTCCTCCTCCTCCTGATCTTCCCCGCCATCCTCCCCCAAGTGTTCCCCGAAGGATTTTCCACAACGGCAGGGGGAACACATGGTCCGATAGCTTGGCAGAGCTCTTGCCACAACGCTCGGCCCCATGGGCAGTTTCAAAAGCCAGGGGGGGGCGGTGAGTCGCCGCAAGCTTCTTCGATCCGCCGCCCCCAGTTGGCTTGCCACAAGGGTGCCTGGCGTGCTGAATCCTGTACTCAGCCTGGTTTTGGCCCTTTTTACAATGAGCCCCCCCTGGGGCTTCGGCCCAGCGCGCCGGCCACCCGGAAGGCTTGCCCAGAGGTGGCCGCAAACGGGTTTCCCGCTCCAGATGGCTCCAAGATGGCCCAATATTGAAAGAAGGAAAAACTCCAAGAACACAAACTTTTGGCGCTCCGCGCGGATTTCTTGGATCCGCGCTGGACTCCCCTCCCTGGCGCGCGGAGCGCGCCAGGGGCGGCGCCGCAGGCGCCGCTGGGGGGGGCCCAGGTCCGGACCCGAGAAATCCGCGCGGAGCGCCAAAAGTTTGTATTATGGCGTTTTTTGTTCTTCGAAGATAGCCCCAAGATGGTCTCTAAGACGGCCAAGACGGGCCCAAGATGGAGGAGGAGGAGGAGGAGGAGGAGGAGGAGGAGGAAGAGGAGGAGGAGGAGGAGGGAGGAGTAGGAGGAGGGGGCATAGTGGAGGAGGAGGAGGAGGCGGAGGAGGAGGAGGAGGATGAGGAGGAGAAGGAGGAGGAGGAGGAGGAGGGGGAAGAGTGGAGGAGGAGGAGAAGGAGGAGGCCAAGACGGCCAAGAGGGCCTTCAAGCTCGCCTGGGATGTCGTGGTGTCTGACAGAGGCGGGGCCCGCGTGCCCGCATCGGTGCCCTGCCTCGTGCGCTGACCGGCCGACCTCTGGACTCCTTCCTGCCAGTGGGCGCCTCGTGCCCGCCCCGTGTGCTGGATGGCGCCTCTGAGTGCACACAAGAGATGCCGCGCGCAACAAACTGCACCGAATTGAGCGCCAAAGAGGGCACAGTGTGCAACAAGTGCACCGACGAATGACATAAACATGAAGACTCGGAGGTCCGCGCGAATTTCTCGGATCCGCGCTGGGGCCCCCCGGCGGCGCCTCCGGCGCCGCCCCTGGCGCGCTCCGCGCGCCAGGGAGGGGGCAAACGCGGATCCAAGAAACCCGCGCAGACCTTCGAGTTGTTATGTTTATGTTCTTCCCCTTAACACAAAAGATGCATCACGCAACAACTTGCACCGAATGTGTTGCGACACATGAAAGTTTGCACCCCGTCGACTGTACCACATTGACAGTATCACATACACTGCACCTTATTGACTGCACCCCGCGTACTCGATTTGCGGCAGCGAATTAGGCCCTCCAGCCCACCGAGGCTGGGGTACGCGCCCGTCTCGTCGCTGAGTACGCAAGATCGTCATCCGAAATGTATAACGAAAGCATTCCCGACCAACCAATATCCACACACAAACACACAAGCACAGACACACACCGTCACCATTGTCAAACAATACTACGCAGAGGAGGAAGAGGAGGAGGAGGAGGAGGAGGAGGACGGTGAGGAGGAGGAGGAGGAGGAGGACGAGGAGGAGGAGGAGGAGGGGGAAGAGAGGAGGAGGAGGGGGAAGAGAGGAGGAGGAGGAGGAGGAGGTGCACATGCGTTGACACAGCACGAACGTCGAACTTGTTGTAATGTACACTTTCAGAACACACGCAACCCCCCAACCCACACACACACAGGGCCACAGGTGCTTGGCCCCCGCGCGCGCACGTCGGACACTGTCAAAACCATGGAGGGTCAACAAGAAAAGGAAGGAGGAGGAAGGAGGGAGGGAGGGAGGAGGAGGGAGGAGGAGGAGAAGGAGGAGGAAAAGGAGGATGAGGAGGAGGAGGAGAAGGAGGGAAAGGCGGAGGAGGAGGAGGAGGAGGTGTTCGAAACCTCGCAGGCCCCGAGCGCGGCCACTCGCTGTAATATCAAGCCTCGTTTGGCACGCGATGCTGCCGAGTGACACCGTGCGGGCCACGCGGGCGCGCATGCCCAGCCGTGCACGCGGATCTGCAAGCCAGCCGAGGCGTACAGGCCACACGCGCGCACGCTGAAGTCCTTCCAAAACACGTTGCTCCTGCGAATGGCAATGGAGGCCATCCTGGGCCAGTATGACCATCTTCGACGCCATCTTGAGCCGTCTCCGGGGATTGTTTGCCCCCTAGGTTGTCTGAAGCCTCTTCTTATCCCTTTCCTGCTTCTGCTCCTTGTCTTCCCCCTCCTCCTCCTCCTCCTCCTCCTCCTCCTCCTCCTCCTGAGGCATTGCTCGAACACGTGGCTGCCAAATTCATGGCAAGGCAGAACTCTTCGGACACATCCGAACTCCCCATGCGTCACATGACATGTGTCAAACTTCTCGAATTTCCTACGCGCGGGCACTTCCTCATGACCCTCGCCAACCAACACAAACGTTATCATGATTGCCACGAGCTGGAAGTCGTCGTTCGTCGGCATCATCATTAACTGGAAGTTTTGTCCCTCGTCATCGTCGTTGTCGTTCACCATCGTCGTCGTCGTCGTCGCCGATGCCAACGTCACCATCATCACTCACCCACCCGAGTCATGGATACACACGAGTGGGGTCCTCGCGTCGTTGCGCCTGTTGATCTGTGCGAGGATGTTCCAATGAGTGATTTCACTTGCTCCCTGTTGAATGTTGCCAACAAGTTGCGGATGGGTTGGTGGGATGCTTGCTCGAGCAGGGGAGGCAGCCATGCGCGGATGAAGGCTGGTGAATTGCATCATATGGCATGCACCACATGGCATGCGCAAGTATGGCATGTAGATAGCATCCCGAAGGTAGCATTAATACACTGATTGAACTACTGCGTAGGTTGGACCACATGCAGACTGCACCACACATGTAGCACATCGAGAGTGCCGCAATAACCCTCTTTAGGGGGTCACGCTGACAAACATTTATCACCATCCCCAGAAGTCTGGTGCCCCCCCTTACTGTCCCCCTTGCTGGCCTCCTGATGATCTTCTTGTTGCTCCTTCTGCTGTTCCAACTGCTGCTCCTCCCTTTCTCCTGCTGCTGCTGCTGCTGCTCCTCCTCCTCCTCCTCCTCCTCCTGCTGTTCATCCCGCTGCTCCCGCTGCTCGTCGTGCGACCCTCTCGCTCTCCTTACCCTCGTCTCCCCTCCTTCCCCCCGGCCTGTTCAAGTACGCGCCGATGCCAACGGATCGCCCCGTGATGTAGGACAGGGTGAATACCTCGGCGGGCCCGGCGCCGGGCAGGAGAACGATGTCGAGGAGGGAGGAAGGGGAGAGAGGGGCGAGGATGGGAAGAATGGAGAGGAGGAAAAGGTGGAACAAGAAGGCGGAGAAGATAGGGACAGGGGAGGAGAATCCCTGCTCTGGCCTCGCGCCTCCTTCTCATCCACCGCCCTCGGCATCTCCAGGCACGCGTCCTCGCCAGATCCCGCCCCCTCCTCCGCCTCCTCCTCCAGGTGTCGGCGGCGTGCCCGGGGGGAAGTGAGAAGGAGCAAGCTTTCTCAGATGGCGGCGGGGCTTCTCAGAAGCCCTCGCGCCTTCTGAGAAGTTCTGCGTCTTCGGGGAAGGCTCACAGAACTTCTCAGAAGACCGGAGGCCTTCTGAGCCTCCTGAGAAGGCCCGCCCATTCTCACTTCCCCCTAGGTTTGCCGCCGAATGTGGGCGTTTGCAGGCGCAGCGCATCGGGGGGGAGGGGGCTACAGGGAAGAGAGGAAATGCGGGAAGGAGGAGGAGGAGGAGGAGGAGGAGGAGGAGGAGGAGGGGAAGAGGGCCCGGGAGAGGAAGAGGGGCTGAAGGTGAGTGGAGAGGGAGAGGGCGGAAAGAAGCTCTCCTACCTCTTCCTCCTACTCCTCCTCCTCCTCCTCCTCCTCCTCCTCCTCCTCCTCCTCCCTCCTCCTCCTCCCTCCTACTCGTCCTACCTGCTGCTGCTCCTCCTGCTCCTACCTCCTACCTCCTTCCTCCTACCTCCTACCTCATACCCCCTACCCCCTACCTCCTCCCTCCTACTTCATCCTCTCATCTCCTACCTCCTACCTCCTACCTCTCTTACCTCTTTCCCCCCCTCCTCCTCCTCCTCCTCCTCCTCCTCCTCCTCCTCCTCCTCCTCCTCCTCCTCCTCCTCTGGAGCCTCGTCGTACGCCCGGGACGTCTCGCCGGCGATCAGAGCCGAGCCCTGCAGGTTCTCGACGCCGATGCCGCCGGCCTCCGCGCGCCGCGCGCGGAGAGCCCGCGTGGCGGGGGCCGCCGCCGACGACGGCGCGGGCGCCGGCGCCGGCGCCGCCGCCGACGACGACGACGCCGACGACGCCGACGCCGACGACGACGACGCCGACGACGCCGACGACGCCGACGACGACGACGACGACGACGACGACGACGGCGACGGCAACGGCAAAGGCGACGACGACGACGACGACGACGACGACGACGGCGACGGCGACGGCGACGACGGCGGCGGCGACGGCAACGGTAAAGGCGACGACGACGAAGACCACGACGGCGACGGCGACGGCGACGACGGCAGCGGCGGCGGCGACGGCGACGGCGACGGCGACGGCGGTGGCGGCGGCGGCGATCGGCGACGACGACGGCGACGGCGTCGGTCAATTGGGGGCTCGGCGGAGGGAGACGGGGAGATGGGACGACTGGGGGGTGGAGGCAGGACGGGCGAGGAGGAGGAGGAGGCGGAGGAGGCGGAGGAGGAGGAGGCGGAGGAGGAGTAGGAGGAGGAGGAGGAGGAGGAGGAGGAGGCAGAGGAGGAGGAGGAGGAGGCAGAGGAGGGAACGACGGAGGAAGGAGGGGAGGGGGGCGCGGAGAGCAGTGCTGGGGGCGCACTCGCCGAACGCTGGGGCGCCCTGGGAAGGCAGGGGGGGCGAGCACGAGCGGGCGGACGGGGGGCGCGCGGGGAGAGAGGTCACGCTCAGAGCATGCAGCCCGTGTGCGTGTGCCGGGGGGGGGGGGGGGGGCAGACACGTGATGACACGTGCCAGGCGCGCAAGCGCCCGACTCGTTTTTTTTTGATCGCCGCCGCCCCTCCGCGCGCATTGCCAAGCTTGAGAAGCCCGCCGCACCCATGATGTGCATCCCTCTTGTGGCCCTGAGCACGTGCACGCACGTGCCGCACGCGACCGCGCAGGACGCGTGTGTTGTGACGCTGGGCCCAAGCGCGGCCAGCTCAGAGGAACGTGATCATAACCCTAGCGCAGTCCATGATATCATCTGGGAGCGCAACAAATCACGCGACGTAAGGCAGGAACGCGCCAGACGCATGTCCGGTCGGGGGGCGGCTTGCCCGACCCTCGCTGCTCCAGGCCCTCGGGGATCTTCTGACCCAGGTCGATCCAGGCCCAGGTCAGCGAGGCCTTGCGCGACCCTGCAAGATCCTGCACCCAGACCCGGGCCAGTGCGACCCGGCCCTGCACGATCCTGCAAGGTCCGGCGCTCTGGCCGACCCCCGCTTGCCTTGATAGAGGGCCACATGCGAACCCTACCCCTACCCCCCACGATTTCTGAGGTGGAGGGTGGTGTTCCCTTCGCTCGGGAGCTCCCAAGCGAAGTGAACCCCACTCTACGCCTCAGAAATCGTGGGGGGCAGGGGTAGGGTTCGCATGGGGCCCCCTACCTGACCCCCCGATTCGGACGCCCGAAATGGGTACGGAAAAAATGGGTAGAATGCCCAACAACAAATGTTGTCCCAAACCGACAGCGGCCGCTGTTGGGCAGGCGGCCTTCTGTCTCAAATGAACACAGACCGCGGCTGTGCGGACAGCGAGTCCTGTTCAAAATGAACAGGAACTGCTGTTGGGCAGTGTTCAAGGGGCCCAAGGACACAAATGAATACACACAAATTTAAAACATCCTATATTATCCTACATTTTCTTGGCTTTTGTCTTCCCGCCCAATTCCCATATCTTCCCATATCATATTGGGGATCGACGATTCATTGTGTCTGTGTGTTTCTTTCCCTCCTGAATTGTACCCATTCTTTCTATACCCATCTCGCGCGTGCAGACCCGAGCCCCGTGGCCTTCGACGGAGGCGAGGCCCGGGGCGCGGCGCGCGTAGAGCTCCGCCCGCGGGGCCTCTGATGGCGTGTCGCGGGGGCCGCCGCCGCGGCACGCTCCGCAGAGCTCAGGAGGGGCAGAAGCACACGGACACCATTCGTCTTAGGTCGGGCCTGTCCCCCTGACAGGGGGGATTTTGGACGAAACATTAAAAACAAATATGCAAAAGATGCTCCAGAGATGCCCAAACATACTCCAAACATAGTCCCCAGGCTATTTTTTGACTACTTTTGAACGTCCCCCCTGTAGAGGGACCGGCCCGACTTCGAGGTCGGGCCTGTCCCCCTAACAGGGGGATTTGGGACCCCCTCCTCCTCCTTCTCTTCCTCCTCCTCCTCCTCCTCCTCCTCCTCCTCCTCCTCCTCCTCCTCCCTCCTCCTCCTCATCCCTCCTCCTTCTCTTCCTTCTCTTCCTCCTCCTCCTCCTCCTCCTCCTCGGACGTAGCCTGGAGCGCCATGAGGTTCATCCGCATACACCTCCGCTCGTTGGGCGCAGGACTTGATACCTGACCGCCCTTACAACACCTGAACTGACATCAGAAGTAAGCACTGGGACAGCGGGCGACGTGAGCTTATGAAGGGCATTGAACAAATGGTAGGCAGCGACAGGGAGAGCGAAATTGGCAGCGTCGGGAGTGAGGAGACCAAAACGGGCGAGAGGACGAGAGTCAAGGGGATGACCAGCCACCTCCGCAAGGAGGCGGATAAAACGCGGGCACGTCCAGTAGTGCCAGAAACTATCTGTGCATCCAGGACATCCTAGCATGCAGGGTGATTGCTTCTGGAAGCGCGAGTCCACAACCCAGGCAGCGGCGATCGTTCGGATAACGGCAAACCGCCACGACGGGGGGAGGGAAAGAATCACAGCACGACATTGTCCCCAGTCAATGTTCGCAATCGCCTCGAGATCGTTCGGACAGCCTCGTCGCAGCCGAGCCACAAACGTGTCTTGAAGATTGTCGGGATACAGGGTATGGCGAAGAGAACGGTAAAGAACACGTTGCGGGTGAAGGGCACGAGGAGGTAGCAAAGGGTGAGCAGAAAGGTGAGCAGCAAGAGCACGCAGCGCTGTCCTGCCAGGGGTCCTGAGATCGGGAACGTCCTTGAAACCGTGGAAAGCATCACTGAGGTTCTGGGCAAAGGGTCGAGATTTCCAAAACATCGGGCACCAGCGGCGCCCTCCTTCGGGGTACTCCGTCAGAATCGTAACCAGGGGCAGGGAGTCCCAGGCATTCTCCTCCAACGCCTCCAAGCAAGGTCTCCAGATGGGCAAGGTGAAGTGGCTGGTGCGGATCAAAGAAGCTAGGTTCATGGCCAGGAGGGAGGTGACTTTCGGACCACCCCAGTCCTGAAGCGTGTGCCAGTCGGCATTCGACCAGCAGCGAAACGGAGTCTTGAAAAGACGCGCCAGCTGCTGGAACTCAGTCTTGCGAAGCGCGGCAGGGAGCAAGCTGAACTGCGCCACGTATGAGAGCACAGTGACTGCACGGCGGCAATATAGGAGGGACGAGACCTCCGCCGCCGCACCACTCGAGGCAATCGCAGAGCAGCGAGCTCGGTACTTGCTCATCGGGGCGAGCCACGAATCCCACTCCACATCGGGGCCGAGGAACATGCCAAGGTACTTGAGGGACCCGGAGATGGACATCGAAGACCACGAAGCGAGATAGCGAGAGAGCCAGTCACGATATTGTTGAACGACTTCGGGGGAAGCGTTACCGACAAGGGGAACGACGTGGCATTTTGGGATCTTGAGCTTGAGGTGGGCGAGGGACTCGGCGTTGCGGAAAACACTCTGGACCTCCGAGAGCACAGATATGCACTTCAGGGCCATGCCAATGTCGTCAGCACAGGCGCGTGTGTGTCCGCGGTGCGTGTCATCCACCACTGAACGAAACTCGCGGAGGAAGGGGTCGAGGGCGAGGCTGAAGAGGAGACCTGACGCGGGACAACCTTGGATGATTCCAGCAGTAATGGTGTAAAGGAAAGAGGTATGGCCCCCGAGGTTGCCCCAGCAAGAAACGTTCTCGTAAATCACCTGGAAAAACCATCTGAGCGGAGGAGGGAGGGAAATGGAGTCAAGAACGAGCATGAGCCAGCGCTGGCACAGGCTGGGAAAGGCTTGTCCAAAATCAAACCCGATCAGCAGCGGAAGAGAGGCGCGGGGTCCCGAGGAATAGATGCGGGCGTGAGCATCAAGCTCGACAATGTTCGAACAGAAATTACGGCCCGCAACGAACCCCCGTTGATTCGAGTCGAGTCCAGCAGGCACGCGACGAGCAAGTTCCCAACAGCAGACACCCGTGAGGATTTTGCAGTCCGTGTTTTTGAGCCCGAGCGGTCTGGTGTCCCCAAGGTCCCTGAAGACTCCGAGATGGTCGTTCTCCTCCGTGCCTTTGGGGATGAAGACCCCCGTCAGCGCGTTAAAGTCAAAGGCGAGCGACTGACCACTCAAGATCCACTGCAAGCCTTCAAACAAGACGAGGGATCCTAGCGGAGCGTTCTGCCAAGCGGCGTACCTGAGGCGGTCGGGGCCAGGGCCTGAATCGGTTTGCCGTCTGAGATAACTTTCGAGCAGGCTGAGGGTCGGAGGGGCAAGATCGGCCGAGGGGATGAGAGGGGGGAATTCCTGGAGATACCGACTAGCAGCATCAGCGTCAAAAGGTTTGCCCGAGAAAACGGGGGACCAGTGGGCCGAGAGGGCCTCCAAGATTTTGGCGGGTTCCTGGACCAGGGAGGTGCCCTCGAGCTCGGATGGGACACGGACGCCAGCCAGGGAAACACATTTGTCGAAGGGGGACCAAAGACGCGCTGCTTTCTTCATTTTCTCGACCCGTCCTCGAAGTCGCGCTTGGCGCTGCTCGCTCCCAGCAGCTGCAAGACTCTCTTGCACACGCAGGCGGCGTCGGCGAGAGACATCCGCGTGCAAGGCGTCTGAAACTTCAGCAAAGTCAGCCGCAGAGCGCAGAGAGACCACGTTAGCAACCTCGTCGATCACAAGGTGCTCGCGGGCGAGGGCGTGCGAAGAGAAGACGCGGCGGGCAAGTCGCATGTCTTGCCGATAGAACGCCCTAGCACAGGTGCGAATGACCATGAGACGAGCATCCTTAGACTGAGGTTTGTGAACGATGAGGGCGTTT